TATATATATATATATATATAGGTAGACTGTAACGAAGTGAAGATTCGACTGGCTTCAAAAAGAATGAAGGCTGTTGTGCACATGAACCAAAAAAACGCAGCAAAAAAGCTGTGCTTTCACTCAAAAACGCGTCGTGCAAACAGACCGTTAATCTGAATGTGATCCTTCTGGAGATGTGACATGCAGAACCTGCAGATTTAAAAAAATCCTTCTTTCACGTTTAGAATCAACGTATCAAACCATAAAACATCTTGTATTATTATGGGGATGAAGCGGTGATGATGTCATAAGCCGACAGCTCTCTCCACCTCATTCATCACAGAGGACACTTACTGTTGGGTAATTTGTCTGTTCGTCCACATGAAAGCAGTGAGGAGACAAAACAAAGGAAACAGTTTTTAAATCTGTGGATTCATCCCTGTAAACTGTGCCATTATCAACAAAATATAAAAACAAACAATCAAATTAATAAATTCAACTAGATAAAGGTCATTTCCTGTGAAAATGCAGTATAAATACTTATTGCAGAATGATTTTTGCTGAAAGCTGCTGAAGAAGTTGAAACCAGCTGAAACGTTTTCTTCTCTAAACTGTTAATCTGAGTTGAATTTGAACAGCTCACATTTGCTGAAAGCAGGAAAATAAAAGCTGAAAGCAGCAGAAAAACAGCTGAAATGTGTAGAAAAAGCTGAATAGAGCAGAAATGAGCAGAATAAGCTGAAAGATGGAGAGGCTGAATAGATTACAAACAAATCTTAAATGAGCAAAACAGTATCTGAAAAGCTTTTAAAAAAATGAGCAAAAAAGGAGCATAAAAAGTTTAAAATATTAGAAAGGAGGACAAAAAGCAAAAATTAGCAATAAAATAAATACATAGCAGACAAATGTCTATAATTAGCAGCAAGAATGCTTAAAAAGTAACTGACAAGCAGAAAAAGCTTAAATTAGCAGAAAGAAGTGGAAAAGGTGAACCAGGAGAAAAGCTGAAATGTGCAGTAAAAGGTTGTAAACGGCTCAAATGGTTTGAAGGCTGTCAAGAGAGCTCCAATCATTTTTAACGAGAAAAACATGGCTGACAAAGCTAAATATCTCCTAAAGTAAAAACTGCCCAAATACCAGGAATGTCCTGAATGAGCTGAACGTTTTGAGATACGAGTTGTTGAAATAGAACAAAAAAACAAGTTACGTGTATGTGATGAAAAAAGTACAGAAGAAAAAGGATCTCAACCGTGTGAATGATTGAGAAACGTTCACACGATGGCGCACAGACAGTGGTGATCTGACAATGTATGCTGACCTGACAGAACACCGGACCGGAACCGAGCTGCTGTTCTGCAGAGCTGGTGAGTAAAACTTTGCAGTACTGTACAGTACATATACGTATGCTGTTAAAAGTATGCAGGTTTAAACGTTGAGAACATTGCAATACAGTGGGAAGGGTTTATAAAGCCTTAAGATATATATATAAATACTAAAATAAATGTAATTCGCTGTTTATCACTTATTGCGGGTGGGGGGTCTGGAACGTAACCCCTGTGATAAATGAGGGACTACTGTATGTGTGTTTTCCGCATTAGTGATTAACTTAATAGCGTTTGAATTTTTTTTGTTGTTTTAAAGTCTGTTATCTCACTTAATAATAGTTGTTTATATTTTTAGGTGTAAAGTAGACTGACAGCAGATTTTGACACCTGCTCTGCAGTAGAAACCTGATTTTATGACACGGGATAACAAAAAGACAGAGGAAAACTGTGTTGGCTTTGCTGGTACTCACAGTGAGTGGGGATGGTGATGGCCGCCCGAGTTAATATAGGCATAGTGAGGAGGAGGAACAAGGGGAGGAGGATCAGGGGGAGAGCAGGGGAGTGTGGCCCCCTGCAGCCCATCCACAGATGCTGTGACACGCTCATCTCTTAAAGTCCCATCAGCAACGACACAGGGTGCCCACACACTCATCAACATAAGAAAACACACTCTCAGCTGATGCTCGGAGAACACACACTCCACAGACACAAATAAACGACGGTGCGCTTTAGTTTGGTGATTCGCTCCCACACACAGAGGCTTCCTGCCCCGCCCTGCCAGGTCCACAACCCCTCCTTCAGCCCGCAACTGCAGAGGAGGAAAAAGGAAAGAAGTGGGAGGAGAGGGGGTGAGACTTATTGACCTTTAACACATCTTTTATTGTAACATTTCATTTATAATACAGAACCAAAAAAAACATCAAATACAGATCACAATATTTTTCAAGTGTTACTCTCAAAAACAAATCACAAGTGAGTCCAACTACTTGACAATAAGCACATACAGAACACTGTGGACCTTGTGGATAAGGTGAGGGATGTCATCATGGAGACTGATGAAACAAGACTGACACGACTGTCAACAAGGAAGAGGGCCGGCAATGGAGGAGGGGGCGTACCAAAGAGACCATCTTAGCACTAACAAAACTGGTTTGTTCCACTTTGCAGTAAGCTGTTGGGGGAAGAATCAGTTTTGTTGTGTGTTT